CAAAGAAACCAGTTTAAAGAGGAAATACTCCAAGCAGCAGAGAACACAGATCTATGGTGTGTGGAGGAATACTGAAAGAATAGTGAAGACCTCCTCAGAACCAAACAGTAGCAGAGGGCACAGGTAGAGAAGAATGGAAAGCACCCAGCCTGAAACTGCACTTCCGGAGGCATGATCCTTCAAAGACTCTAATGAAAAGGATGCATGATCAGGTTTGTGACATGATGAAGTATATGGCAACAACAGCGAAAAGAACAGGAAGCAGAAAATGAACTCACCAAGTCATAAGGCTCTTCCATGAAGCAACAGAATGCAGTTTGAAGGTGATATGTGCTAAGACAGAGGAGCATAATGCAAACTCCGAAGTGATCACTAAAAATAATGAACAAAGAACTATGAAAGTAGTGATAAAGTGGAGTACTTAGACAGAACACTGTGCCTCTGTCAATCCGAAGGAAGACTAGAAAAGAGGGAGAAAAGTGGGAAGAGACAAAACCAGGCAGCAGGACAGCAGAGTAACCGAGGCAAACACAGCTACAAGAAACACCTTTTCACCCCCTACCCAGGCACTTTACAGTGGGCTCAGGCCCGCCTCCAAAGCCTGAGCTCAGGCACGCCGGGGCGGCCACCTGAGCTCAGAGGGGTCTGACTTCCCACCAGCTTGGGTCCTGAAAAACGCAAACATCAGAGCGGGTGCAGAGCCCGCCCAACAGGAGGGCTGGGTGAGCACAGGACAGGCACCAGCTGTTCCTGCTGCCGGTCCACTGAGGGCTCTGGTGTCAATCTGCATGGAAGCCGTGAACAGACCACACGCAGCCCTTGCAGTGCGGGGATTGCCAGGCCCATGGTACCAGCGTTCTGCCCCTCTCTTGGAAGGCGGGGGCAGCACTAAGGCAGCCCTGGGAGCTCTTCAGGACACTGGAGTCGGTCCTTCCTGACCAATCTCTGTCACCCTCCGTCCTTCTCTGCCACTGGACACCTTCCATATCACCAGCCCAGCCTGTTTTATGCAAGACAGAAATCATGAGTGGGTCTGGCATGGTGGTGCATGCCTGTAATCCCAGTGCTCAGGAGGCTGAGGCAGGAGGATCACCTTGAGTTTGAGGCCAGCCTGGCCTACACAGTGAGTTCAAGGCCAGCCTGAATTACACAGTGAGACACTGAGTCAAAAAACCCCACCAAAAACCCAAAGTAAAATGGAAAGAAATCATGAGTGAGTAAAATTACATCACTTGCAAGAGGCTTTGTAGCTAAGACTCAGGCTGTGGCATCAGGGAGAGCGTGTGCAGAGGGAACCCCAAGAGAAGGGGGCTCATGCACGCAGTGGCCCAGTGGTTGCAGACTTCCTGGTCGCCTGGGACAGACCCAGGGAAGATGTGGTGGCAGTCACAGCAGCAGCAGATGGCACCCTGGCCAGCCATGGGGCGCTCTGGGCAGAAGAAGAAAAAGGAAAGGAAAATAAAATGAGAGAGAGACAGAGAGAGGGGGGAGAGAGAGAGGAAAGGAGGAGGAGAAGAAGAAGGAGAAGGAGGAGAAGGAGAAGGAGAAGGAGGAGAAGGAGAAGAGGAGGAGGAGGAGGAGGGAGAGGGAGGGGGAGGAGGGGGAGGGTAAACAACAACAACAATTCTCGGGACTCTGGGGTCTCCCCCAAGAGCAGACACAGCCTTCTCCCCTCTCGGGCAGAAACAGCAGCTCGGAGAGAAGGCTCTACAGCAGGCCAGACACAAGTCCTGCACTTCAAAGATGGAACTCATACAGAGAGTGTGCTCTTGACCACAACAGAATTAAAGGAGAACTTCACTCGGAAAATCCCCAAGTATTGGCATTTAAACAACACACTTCAAAACAACCTGGAAGTGAAGCAAGAAATCTCAAAAGAAATTAGAAAATATTTTTGAACTGAATAACAAGAAAGCTCCAACATATCAGTATGTGCAGGATGCAGCAGGAATAATACTTAGAGAGAATTTTATAGCAATAAATGCTTATATTAAAATGGAAAAGAAAATTTTAAAAAGCAGTGATCTAATCTTCCACCCAGGAAAATTCAAAAAAGAACAAATGAAATCCAAAGTAATTAGAGGCAAATAATTCAGACAAAAGCAGAAATCTATGAGAATAAACAGGCAAATGATAGAGACAATAAATATTTAAAAGGCTAGATTTTGGCAAAAATGAATACAATTGATAAATTTATAGCTAGACTTGATTAAAAAAAGAGAATAAGCAAAAGTTACCAATGTCAGAAGGGAAAAAAAGATTGTTCAAAAAAATCCTAGAGATAGAAAACAGATAATAATGCAATATTATGGCAACTTAATGCTAAGAAATTCAACACCTTATATGAAATAGAGAAACTCCTTGAACAATAAATTACTAGAACTGACAGAGGAAGAAATAGAATCTACCTGGACTCACTAAAGAAACTGAATTCATAATTTATAACCGCCCCCAAAAGAAAACTCCATGCCCTGATGGCTTCCCTAATAAGCCGGCAACCCTAAGACACAACACCAAACCTGCACAGAAAATAGAGGTAAACGACACTTCTAATTCATTGTAAGCAACCAAGATTATTGTGATAATAAAACCATGCAAAGATATTACAAGAATAAAAACCTACACAGGAACACTCTGTAAACAAAGACACAGAAATCCTCAGCAGAGCACCAGCAAACCAAGTCCACTGTTATCCGCTGACGTGTGTGCCGATACTACAGTCTGCAGCAATAATTACCGTTGAGTCATTTTTACCTTGTATCTGGATAAGTTGTTGGAGATAGAGTTAAATTCCTATTGGTCACTGGGTTTCAGCTCAGCTGCACAGGACTTTTTGGTTAGGGACATGGTGACACCCGTAAGTTCATGCAGCCCGATGGCAGGTGGCAGCACCCAGCTTGGAGGCCTAATGTTCACATTGTCTAGGCCGTCAGGGGGGTCACCTGTGGTCCAATAGCTGCACAGACCCGCGCTGACTGGACATGGACACTGGACGCACAAACCCTTACCAGTGGTCGGGATCCATCTGAGTCCTGAGGCAGACTTCAAGCACGTCCAGCCTCTTCGCTGGCTCCTGGGCGCACATGTATTTCACATCCAGTTGGACTGCAGCTGCCGGAGGCTGGGCGGCTGAGGGCCTCTGAGGACGGGGCACTCAGGGATGTCACAGCCAACCCAGTCCCTGGTTCACGGAGGCGAACTCCCTGGCTCCCTGTACTGAGAGCACCTGCACTCTCTGGCGTTGGCCCTTCCCGGGCTGACAGGAGCGGCGTGAAGACAGACACTACACCTCCTAGGTCGGGTCTGTGGGCTCAGGGCAGTCTCAGGGTGTGCGGGGCACATGGCTGTGGCTGGGGACCCTGTCCTCTCGCCTTCCCGGTGTGCTTCCCACAGGGCCGTGGAGATGCGCCCCGTCTACCAGGCTGCCCTGACCCATGACAGCCTTCTTACCCTGATATCACGGGTTAGTCGCTTTCTCGAGGTTCACACAAGTTTTTCTCTTTCACTTACTGAAAAAGCCACTAAGAAAATTAAGTCATCACTTTCCTCATTTAACAAAATCCCCTCGGACTTGTTTCCAGAGGGTACAGAGAACAGAACCCAGAATTTGGATCCAGCTCTCTGGCTGGGGCTCTTCCTGAGTAGAGCTCCACTTCGCCCGCTTCGTCCTCAGCACCGTTAGTCTTGAAAGAGCTTTTGTTCTTTAATTTTCTATCATTTCTTTCTTTCTTTGATAATAGAGATTGAACCCAATGGTGTGCTACATTGAGGTACATCCACAGCCCGAATTTGTTTATTTTTAGTTTTAAATTTTTATTTATAGTATTTTTATTTTTGACAAGGTCCTAAGTTGCCCAGATTCTGCGCTCAAATTATCCTTTTTCTCTGTCTTTCTCTTACTCTCTCTCTCTCTCTCTCTCTCTCTCTTTCCCTCTCCAGTGCTGGGGATTGAACCTAGGGCCTTGCACACACCACCCTGGCCCTGGCCTCATACTTTTGATCCTCCTGCCTCAGCCTCCAGGATAACTAATCTGTGCCACTGTGCCTGTCAGTCATGAAAGTTTCTCAGAACTCAAACAGCAGAAAAAAGAAAAAAACCATAACTCTATGCTGGGATTGCGACCCTGGGCAGGAGTGAGAGTCAGCCTGCAGCTTGGTGGTGCCCTGCAGTGTGCGTGATAGCTTCCTGTAAAATGAAAATATACTGCGTTTTGAAGAATTTCCAACAGACAGCAAAGCCACAATAAGTTCAGGAATGCCAATGGTGAGACCAATACTACTGAACATGAAGATACAAGCAGTCAGCATCCTATCTTTATACATCCTGTCTTTACACATGCAAGTGAGGAATCTCCAATGCAGTGCAGCAACTCGGAAGGTGGGGATTCGATAATCTGCTTCGTCTCTTAGGCAATTTCCATATCACAGAGGTTTTCTCTCAAGATCGGGACCAGGCTCTTGTCTTGTCCAATAAAGCCAAAGCCCACACTATTTTAAACAGAAACCACAGTGAGTCGAATTCACAGTGCTTGTCTCCTGGAACACCAAAAGACTAGGTCTCTCTATTTCCTTGCTGCCCTGTTTCTCTGCACTGGTAACAGTCACTGCCTAACCAGCAACCGAGGCGATGGCTCAGTGAGCTCTGTGGGGTGAGCACAGGGGAGGCCGGAGCTGCGGGAGAGCGCTCATGCCCAGGCAGGACGAGAATCTTTGGATTCAGTTGCCCGAACCCAAAAGCCTATGTTCTGGTGCGGAGACATCAGGAATGATGCCTTCGTTCAACAAATTCTGCGAGAATCTCCCGGGTACCAGGCCCTGTGTTGGTGAGAAGAGACAGGACTGTGAGGAAACACGGACATTCTCTGCTCTTATCAAGACTGCTATCTGTGTAAGATGAACGCAGCGAGGCCGTGGAGAAAACCCCTGGCGGGAATGAAAGTTAGTTCAGCCACTGTGAAAAGCAGCGTGACAGTTCCTCAAAAAATTAAAAATGCAACTACCTTAGGATCCAGCAATCCCACCCCGGGTCTGCATCCGAAAGAATTGAAATCAGGTCCATCGACACCATGCACATCAGCCAAGACACGGAGCCAGCCCGGCATCCACCGGCTCCAGCTGAGTGAAGACAGTGCTGCACGACACTGGGATGTGTCAGCCTCTCAGGAGGGTGAAATCCTGCTGTCACTGACGACATACATGGGGCCGGAGAGCGCTGTGTTAAGTGAAATAAGCCAGACACTGGAAGATAAGCACTGCGTGATCTCACTCGGGTCGGAGACTGGATCTCAGGGCCAGGGGCAGGGAGGGACGGTGGACGAGGGCATCAGCGGAGAAGTCTGCGTGTGCTAACATGCAGCAGGGTGATTACATGCAGCCACGTGTAGTCTAATGTCAAAACAGTTAGAAAAGAAGAGTGTAGAAATTTCACCTCAGAGAAAGGAGGACTGAGGAGACGGAAATACAGGAGGACTTGGCCAGGCGGGCGGGAACATTACACAGTGCCCTCGGGGCGCCCATGTGTACAGAAATGTTATTCCCTGGTGGAAGACTGGTAACAAAGTTGCCAGAATCCACAGCCCCGGGGAAGGGAGGGCCCTAGGGAGTCAGCACTGTTCCCTGGTGAGCAGCTCTCAGCCAGGCCTGGGGTGCAGGGAGGGATTTGGGGAGCGGGGGCAGGCTGCGGGGCCATTAGAAACGTCACTGCCCTGGGCCCCAGAGGCCTGGGCACTGGGCTAGCTGAGGAGCGTCAGACAGAGCCCTCCCGGCCCTTCCTCAGCAGGACACTCTGCAGACGGGTGTGCAGGATTTCAGTGTCGCCTCACCCAGACTGTGTTTGTGCAAAGTACACGAGGAGAAATCATGGAAATCTGAAATAAATGAAAATGATTCCACAGAGCCTTCGAAGGTGGTAAACTGCACGCACAGGAGTCCTTTCGGCATGCGGCTCGGCAGCTCGGCCTGGTGCGAAGAGAAGGCAGCCTCAGCTGTCCTCCACAGGACCCTCACTGAGCACCGGACAGTCTGCTGGGCACCATTCCAGGTCCGGGGTGCTGCAGGGAGCAAGACAGACAGATTCTAGTGGCCTCCGGGTGATAAAGAATAGAGGCAACGAATGGAATTCAGTAAATCATATGCGCTGGGAAGGAAGCAGCTAGAGGACTGAGAAAGCTCAGGAGGGGAGCAGAGAGGAAGAAGCAACTTGTAGATTCAGCACAGCTGTGCCTCCATCGGATTTGCCCAGTTCGGGTTTTTATAAAACCTCCACGATTTCTGCTCAAATAGAAGAAGTCCTGCATGGCTGTCCCTGGACACACGTCCAGCTTGAGGTCTGGGCCAGAGAGGAGAGGAGGCCTGGTATTTGCTACCTTCTTCATAGCAAGCAACAAACCCCAGTGCGTAGTTGTGGGTGATTTATTGGACCTTCCAGGAGGCCAGGACTTTGCAAGGACAAAGGAAATGTAGGCCGTTGTGCTTTTACCTTCTTTCAGGTAGAAAATGGTCAGAGTTTCATTCCCGTGGTGCAGGGGCTGAACCTGGGACCTCATGCACGCTGAGCGAAAGCTCTGCCACTGAGCTTCCAGAATTTCACTTTTGAAAAGTCCTTGTGCCTGAAGGATTAAAAAACACAAAACCCGAAAGGTACTTCAGGGCACCAGAGACAGAGCAAGCAGGAGGGGCAATGAAAGGCAAATGGGATTACTAAGTTATCCTTAACTAGTACCTTAAGGGCTGGGGAGTTTTAAGTAGATTTAAATACAAACACCATGATCCTGAGCTGTCTTTTTTTTGGAGCGAAAGTACTGCTTCTCAGACAAAGCAGTCCTCACATGGTTACTGGGAACAGAATAGGAGCAGACAAGCTCCAACTCCAGGCTGGCAAGCCCTTCTGTTCACAGCGAGTGAGGCAGACACCCGGACCATGCAGCTCCCCACCAGCGATGATGACCCACGGAGGGGGCACTGTCGCAGGCTGGCTCTGGCTCTGCTGCTGTATTTCCATTTTCTACGGTGTATGCTGTAAACCAGTCCTCAGTCACTCTCTACAGGAAGCAAACCTGCAGCCCATGAATGCGGCCCTTGCTATTAAACCCACTATGCATCCAGCAAGGAACAAATACCAAAGCCCAGTGAGACCTGTCTGCAAGGCCAACGTGTTGGCTGGCTTGCCTAATGGATTACGCCTTTCCTTTGGGTGATTAGTGATCGTTAATAAACAAAACCATATTTAAGTGGCAAATGTTAGAATGCCAATGCTCAGCCCACACTTTCACGAGGAGATGTGTACCACGGAGATATCACACTGGGGTTGAACTGACAGTAATAACACAGTTTAGCCCCTGCTGGGGTGGTAGATTGTGTTCGGAGGGTTTCACGCATCCTAACTAATCTCGTCTTCATGGTGAGATTGGACGATTACCACTGTCACTGACAGACGAGGAAACGGAGGCTCAGAAGGGGTGAGCTGTCTGCCCACGTTGCACAGTGAACCTTCGGCGCTCTAAGCCAGGGAGTAACGCATACTGGTTGTTACCTCCCCTTGCACAAGCGGGAATTGCATTTGTATAGGGCTTTGTCTACTCTGAGGATGATATTCGGTATCTGTACGGGATTTTTTGTTTCTTTATCTACATGAGTATAAACTGAGTTGGGACAAATGCAGCACAAGGAAACCCCATGGCAGCGTGGCAGGTGGTCAGGGTGCAAAGCCTTTGCAGTAGCCACACACACGCACGCACGCACACATGCATGCACGCACGCACTGGCACAGCCCCGGCCGCCTGGAAGAGGAGGTGCAGGCTGGGGAGGCCCCGCTAGCTCCTAACGAACGGCAGCAGAAGTCAGTTGGCCCACAGCAGCCCACGTCCTGGAATGGGAAAGGAGAGCCAAGGAACGCGGTCCGCGGCTCATCTCACAAGACAAGAAAACTCATCCTTCAAGTTTCTCTGCACAGATCTGCAAGCCGAGCGTCCTCCCTGGACGACTCTAGTGTCACCTGTGGATCCAGAAGGGAAGAGACTGAATATTTGTCAAGCTTCCCGGTGGGCCAGGCGCGATGCAGTGCTGTTGCCATTTCTTGTTACTGAATCTTGACAAGATTGGTAAGGTGTTATTTGCTCCATTTCCAAGGAGCAGAAAGACAGAGGTTAAAAGAGGGCATGTGAGCTGGGTGTGGAGGTCCACGCCTGTGATCCCAGGTCTCTGGGAGGCTGAGGCAGGAGGACTGCAAGTTCCAACCCAGCCTTGGCAATTTAGCAACTTAGTGAGACCCTGCCTCAAAATAAAAATTAAAAGGGATTACCAAGCATGCCGCTTGGTAATAAAGACCCAAGAAAACACAAGGAGAGGTCAGATGTGCCCCGGACCCAGCAGATTCCATGGCTTCCCTGTCCTGGGCCTCAGGGCCATCATTCCACAGCCGGCCCCTTCTTGGAGCATCGGACCTGTTTCCCAGATGCGGACAACAGTGCCTACCTACCTCAGGTCGTGCTGTGGGCATCACATGGGTTAGTACATCTCTGAAGACCTCGGGGCAGGGCCTGCCAGGGAATGCTCAATACTTGCTCTGGATTGTATGATCATGCGGCAGCTGCTACGGCCTCAGCTACGTGGAAGCAAACACAGCCAGAGCCCCTGAATGCCAGGGCTGTGCCCGGACACGTACAGTTAGGGATCTGCCACCGTGTGGGTGTCCTGGAGGGCACGTGCACACGCTAAGGCCCCCGTGACCTCACCCCGGGACCACGGTCACACGCGGTCCGTCCTGGCTGAGCCATGGTCAGGAGTTACACAGCTGCTTCTCACAACAAGGCAGCTACTGCGAGCCTGCTGTTCCTGCCTCTGGTAATGCCCAGCACAAAATAAGGCTCACTACTACGTTTGATGAGATAATGTCTAGACCCAAGGGCTGTCAATAAACGTTCTTAAAAGCATGCACAAGGCCTGACATTATTTTCCTGCTGTTGCCTCTCTCTCCGCATCATCTGCTGAGACCCGTGCCTTGCTGTCTCCACTCAGAGCTGTTTTCCGGGAGAATCCTTTCCCACCACCCCGGCCCACATCCCACGTCATCACTGTATCCAGTGCACTTGTCACAGAGCACTATCGCCAAGGGAAACTCCGGCTCATTTATTTCACTTACTGTGTCCCCCTAGAACATCAGCTGCAAGAGGGCAGAGATCATGGCTTGTTTGTTTTGTACACTCCTGGATTCTCAGCCCAGAGAAGAGGGCTCTGCATCCTCGGCTTCAATAAATATCTGTCCAACAGTGGATGAACACAAGCCATTAACTTATTAAAGATTCTGCATTCAATGTTGTGAGTCTGTGTATAGAAACTCAGGGAGATTCACACCAGGAAAATAATAAAAGAACTGCTGTGTGGGTAAGACAGGGATGAGGTCACTAATAAAACATAAATCCTCCTCTCTAGAAAGCTGCTGACTTTGTATGTGAATTACATGGGAATTTCAATCCCTGTCTTGCATCTGTGCTAGTGGAAAGTAGGGGAAATTATGTCTGTTTTATAAGAAATGAGAAGATATTATTCTTTCTTTGCAAAACTCACATGGTAACTAGACACTGGTTTTACTCTGTCTGAAATGCTGGTTAACTCTGTAGTTCACCTAAGTTAAATGTCATTTACATTTTTTAAAATTAGCAACATATGATACTCTTTTCGTCTTTGCTTTCTTACCCTAAGTTCCTAACAGGAACAACACATAATTATCTGCTCCTTCACAGGGACACCAAAATTCAATGTGGCAATGGACAGAGACATCCGGCACTCTAGGGACAATGACAAAGGTTTGCTTTCCTTACCTAGATTATTGATTATTCACGTGGATATAAAGAACCAAGGTAATACAGATAACGCTAATAATCTATGCATTTTTCAGATCTCTCTGAAGATAAAACAGACCCAAGTCCATATGCTGCGGCTCATGTAGGCACCACGCAGCACCTGGTGCATTTGGATTTACTTTGATTTTATACACAGGAATCTTCCATAAATATTGCCTATAAAAGTTTGTGCCTGGCTTCTATTATTTCATTTTGTTTTTTAAGTAACTCCAGCTTTAATTATCTTTCCAGACTTTACCCAGATGTTACCAGCCCAAGAAATCTTCCTTGGTTCCTTCACTGATTCTTTGATGTGGTTTACACCTGTCTCCGAAATTATTTATTTGCACACACATCTCAGATGAGACAGCCAGGGAGCAAGAAATGTCTCTCTGTGTGCTGGCCCAAGAACAGCACTTGGCAGCAGCTACAGGACGAGCTCAATTCAGTTAACTCCACAGTGAACTGCTGGGTCTGGATTCTAAATGAATGCGTTTAAAGCACAGGAACCACAGCAAGAGTAAAGTAACAGAGCACTCCAGAGGGTGCTCCGAGAGCCAGCAGGCGCATCAGGTGTGTTTGTGTCGCCTCTGAAAGTCATTTTGGACGACCTTTTGCTTAGAAAAGTTGCATTTAGTGTGCCAAGAGAGCTGTCTGAAATAGCTAGCTTCCTTTCTAAGTGCTGCCTTGGGCTACGGGTTTCTCCCTCCAGCTCTGTCCCTCTAACGTCTTGCTGGGTCTCCAGGCTGTCCTGGCTCAGCCTCCCCTGTGCCCCTGGGCCTGGAGCTCCTGTCTGCTCAGCCCAGTCTCCTTCCTCCAGTTTATCTGCTCCGCTGTCTGCCACTAGCTTGAAAACCCTTTCAAGGCACAGACTTTCTTATTATCTTCTTATTCTAGTAAGTGCTTAACCGCCAAATCATTAAATCAATCAAAAGCATTTCCGAGTTTAAAATCTCTCTTCTGCACAAGCGCTGGTGTGATCCAGCTGTCCCTGGGGCTGGAGGCCCGGAATCTGGCCCTAGCCTTGCACACTGATAACCACGGACCCTAGACTGCAGGAAGTG